ACGACCTTCTGCTTCTTCTCCCCATTGCCTAGATGGTAGAGAACTCTGTCAGCAACTGTGAAAGAGGCTGCCTTCTCACGTAGACGTCTCTTTTGATCTTTGGAGAAGTCTTCTGGGTACGTAGTAGAGGCGATGTAGTCTACAAGGCGAGATACTTCGCTGGCATCCATCACGAGAAGATTTGGTAACACTGAAGAACTGTATGGCAATGTGTTGACGAACGATACAAGCAAATGATAGCAAATGTTCTAACCCTTTAGGTATTTGTACACGTATTATGTGTGATGGGCAGCAACTTGACATGCCCGTTGCCCACAACCGCCCTCCCTACATGAAAACACCTCAGCGTGACACGCCAGCCCCATTTTCTCAGGATGACACCAGCAGTGACACCCACATGAACTGATGGCTAGTCATCTACAGACACGTTGGAATAGTTCGTTTGAAAATGATTTTGTTGGTTTGTACTACATTCATAAATTAATATTACGTTTATAAGCTTACTTTTCAATAATGCAAGCAACAATAGCTATATTAAAAATCATAAAATTCAGTATTCAATTAAGAATATATCTTTCTGGCGTGTTTCTTTTGAATGAAAAACACTTTCATTCAGTCAGTTCGCCACGCGGTTAGGGGCCCGTTTTGGGAGGCGGTTGAAATGTAATACAAAACTCTGTATATATTCAAACGGCGCACCTCAAGTCAAACCGCTATGCAAGGTTTTTTTCCAAGATATTAGGCCTTATTCTGTAAAATTACCCTTGGCTCGGGTAGAACTGCTGGGCTAACCACGCAGTTCAAGATAATCGAGCACTGTTCGATTTTTTTTTTTAGCCGAACGGTCCTAACCGCGCCAATGGAAATACTACATCGTCATCATAAATGAACTGTTTCGATTTGTCGCGGTTTTACCAAACGCTAGCCCCTAGCGGTTTGCAATTGGTGAAACCGCGCCAAACCGCGCACTATGGAAACAAAGTCGCCGAACTTTTGAGCATACTTTTTGTATAGCATTTCAAAAGCCTGGGTTGTTTGCATTAAAATCAAAACAAAGGAATCTGTAATTAAAATGTGTAAGGTGAAAAAGCTTTTACATAAAAGAGCAAAATACATGGGGGAGAGTAAATATATAATTCTATATAACTTTTCTTGAATGGAGCACATTTGAAAAAAAAGATAATCCAAGAATATTCGATATTACCGTGTATAAAGAATTTATATCAGTCATATATTTCTAACTTAGATCACCCGTATGTAGCCCAGGTAAAGCATGCACATCGGGGAACATTGTAATGTTGGTACAGTTTATCGTGTCTTCTTGCTTTAGTATTACACATTGGCTTTTCATATTCCTCAAGGTTTGAATGTTTATTTGTTTAATAAAAAAATGTATTTTTTATTTATTTTTTTCTCTCCTTTATTTGTTCTGGGTTATATATTTATCTAAATATACATTTAGTTACTTGTGTGTGTGTGGTTGTTTCCTTTTATTTGTTGATTTTGATTTTGATTGATTTTGCGGGGTATTTTTCTTTCTTTTCTTTTCGGGGGGGGGGGGGGGCACTTTTCCTTTCGTTTTTCATAATATTATTTTTTTAAGTTGTATATAACGTATGAATCCCTTCTCAGATTACTTTATCTCATTTCTATATGACGTGCTATTTTACTTCTCTGTGTTTTTCTTGTTTTCTCTTCAGTATGAGGTTATACTGTATCATTTTTACTATTTTGATGGTTGTGGTCATCAGTTATGCAAATCAGTTTCGGTGTGTCTTTTTAACAAGGTGTTCTTCATTAAGATTCACGGCCAGCCCGATTGTAACAATTACATGTACACTTTGCTTTGACGATGCCGGTTGATGTTATTCAATACAGGCTGGGGTGGGTTTTTTTTAAAATCTATTCTACATGCTTATCATTTCGGGAAGATGATACACATTTCTCTATATTTTGGGTTACTTTGCTTATCTAATTTCCGATTATCATTCTTAGTTTTACTTTTTCTCTTCGGCTGCGGTGATATCCATCCGAATCCAGGACCTTTGCATAGTCCAGATTTAAAGATTATATATCTAAACGTACGCAGTCTTAAAGACAAAGTAGATTTTATCAGTGCTGAATTAGATAGTTATGATGTTGTATGTTTAACAGAAACCTGCTTGCACCATGATATTCTAGCCACTGATATTACACTGATACCATTTTCAAATCGTAGCCTGTATTAAGGAATATATTTTAGATCTTAAATCAGAGTATAACGGACAGCCTGAGCTGGAGGCGCGCGTGGATATGTTGACAGTTTTTACGTAGTTATTGGTAAAACCGAATGTTTCCGAGGATTAATAAGATTTCTGAATTCTGTTACAACAGTAACCGTACATGTATTTGTTACATTAAGTCATTTCATTCAAATTTGTTTGGTATGATTATGTCTTATAATTATTTTAGGATGGAAGGTACAGTTACCAAATAAAATATGCTGAAATATCAATTCATTATGACCATATTTCATAATCTATTTTTTAAAGTAACCCTCCTTACATTAAAGATAACTATTTAAAGAATATAGTACTGAAAGACATTGCAACAAACCGAATAATCAGGGGGGAGACTTTATACTGAGGGGGGCGCGAAACACACCCGCCCGGGGGAGATTTTATTTCAGAACAGATTCTCCGGGGGAGAATCTGTACCGGTATAAACTCTCCGGGGGGAGAATTTGTACGGGGCAGAGTTTATACCGGGACACCGGCCACAGCAATCAGCTGTACACACGTTTTCTTGGAATCTACCGGTGATTCGGTCAATACACACCCAATGATATAACTTTACAGGATTTTAATGCAAGGATCGGCAAAAGTTGTATCTGAAACTATTTTTTTATCAGGAATAATATATTCCAATATCTTGTTAATTTAGATGCAGCTTTTACTAAACATATTTAAAATAATAATAACCCTAAGCGAAGCAGCTGATCGCTATTGCCGGGTATTATTTTTTATATGGAACCAGTCTGACCAGTCACCGTCAAGGCTCCTGTGCACGTGATTGCGTGATCGCGAGAATTACGTGTTGACATAGAATCGTCCAACAAAAACAAATATGACTTTTAACGAATCAAAGTATGGCATTTATGATATATGACCATTCTCTGTCAACTAAAGTTCATTTCAAGGCGTCAATAGCGGTAATCGGACCGTGGTTGCTGTTAATAACGGTGAGTTGTGCGACCTTCCGATCGCTTCACACACGATTTCGCCGAAATTAATTAAAACAATATTAAAAGGAATTTTGAATAAAATAAATGAAATAAGTTACAAACATGAGTCCAGATATACAAAGAACACTTTTTATAGCCAGACAGTGTAATTACCTGAATAATTTGCGAACTTCAGTATGGATTTGTTGACATGGTATTTCCGGTGTTACGTGCTCACAGTAATGTCTTTCCATGGGGGAAAAAACATCAAAACTCATTAATTTGTGTATAATGCGCACCCCCTTCTACACAGCTGTGTTTTTTGGAAAAAAAGTGTGCACTATACTAAAGAAAATACCTATCCATGAGAGTTCCTCTTCAAAGAAGAGGATCAAAGGCCTGTCAGAAAACAGGTAACATCTGACTTACAGGTGTCACATAAAGTCAAGATGCTAAACCGTAATATGGGGTGGTGGATATATCTAAAAATAGAGAAAGTCCAGGCCTGTGTTATATGGGCTTTATAAGCTCTCCCCACAGGCGATAGGGTGCTAACAAACGATGTGTCAACTTCCGCAAGCAGAGGGCGGGGTTTTCAAAATAGCGTTGCAGACTGATTTTAGTTACATTGTTGAACACTGTGTATGTAAAGTATTATTATCCCCTGCCACGAAGTGGAAGGGAGATATAGGAATGGGTGCCGTCCGTCCGTCGGTCACATTTCGTTTCCGGAGCAGATCTTGAAAACCGTACCATATTTCTTCACCAAACTTTGCACATAGATAGGTCTAGTGGTGAACTGGTACCTTTTGATAGTTTGGGATTTAATTTTTTTTAAATTTTTTGAGTTTCCATGGCAACGACTTTGATTTAGACTGAAAATGGCGGTAGTCCTCGTTTCCGGAGCAGAACTTGAAAACCAAACGATATTTCTTCACCAAACTTGGCACATAGATAGGTCTAGTGGTGAACTGGTGCCTTTTGATATTTTGGGATTTAAAAAAATTTAATTTTTTGAGATTCCATGGCAACGACTTTGATTTAGACTGAAAATGGCGGTAGTCTCGTTTCCGGAGCAGATCTTGAAAACCGTACTATATTTCTTCACCAAACTTGGCACATAATGTCTTCTCACAGTATTGAATACATTTCCTTTCTTGTTGGTAAGTTCTGCATTGCTTGAGTGCATGTTCCTCCAAAAGTATCATGGACACAGTTGTTTCATTCACTGACTAACTTCATGCAGAAACACAACTCATTACAAATACAACAGTGTTCTGGTTCTGCATGTATGTCTTATATCTTATCCACAAGGTAACTTTCCACAGAATAGTGATCATGTATCATTTGATTTGACAAAATATCTTGTTCAAGAGCAATCCATAAATCAGTGATGAATTCATGAGCTTTTTTACCTAAGCAGAACGCATGTTGGCCCCGTTGCATCTCGCATTTGTTACGGGGTAGGAACTTGTATCAGAGGGAATGAGGTGAAGTAAGCATGCCATTTCACACACAATTTAGACAAAATTAATGCACACAGTTATTATTGAATGCAAAAGTGACTAAAATTAATCAAAAAGATTACAAACATAAGTCCCAAGTCCAGATATACAATAAACACCTTTTATGACTATATGTAGTGTATCTACAGGAATAACTTGTGTAATTCATTGATATGCTAGTGATTACACCCCGCAGTTAAACCTAATCCGTAGTATCGCTGAAGGGCGTTATATAGGGATGACTGCATCATGATCTTCGTACTGATCTGATCTTAATGTGTTATCTCTTGCAGCTGCTTTTAGACCTCCCAGAACAAATATCTCAGTGTGAGGAAGTCTTATCTTTTTTTGAGGTTGAAGATGAAGACCTGGAGGCTCCAAAAGTTGAAGAGTAAGTTTTGTCTTTCTAGCTCATCTGAATAGGACTGCTTGTGAAAGGTTAGGGGGTTTCTTTTGATGTGGCAGTTATTTCTGCATCTCCTCTGAAACCACAGTAACAATAGTCTTCTGTAATGTACAGACTCTTAACACTGATGTTCACCAGAAAAATGTCCATATCTAGAGGATGGACGCTGCAATTCCACAGCTGAGGCGATAAATCAACAATCTATGAATCTCTGTATATACTTAGTTTGGCTCTCTGGTGCTTCACTAATAGTGCTCTTCCACCATACTTTTACAATAATTACTCTACATCACATCAATATTTACACATTTCAATAAAACATAATCTATCATTGACAATTATTACCGCAAAACACATCATGGATATTTCATAATTTAAAACCTTTCAATCGACAATAAATATTATGTTCAGCCATTTCTCACACAAGATTCAACTATGATATAGTTGGTAATAACTAGTAAACAATCACTAGAATACAGGTGTAAACGTTTTAAACATACTGTCGCAGGTCCTGGCCAACTATGATGATTAAGGTGGACTGAGGTGTTGTAGAAAGTTAAATGTATTTTTTCTTGTAAAAATTAGAAGAAGCCATCGATATAAATCGATATCTAGTCAAGGGGCAACATGGTCTCTCCGCGGCTGTGGTGTCAAAAAGCCAGTAATACAAATACTTCAAATACAACATAGATAATTCTTACAAATCCTCTACCTCTATTTCATCAGTGCCATATTTCTGTCACACTATATGACTAAATTTTCAAATTTTCAATAGAAGTCATCTCCACTGTCAACTATACATAACTGATATTTCCCATAATAGCACCAATTAGCATATCACTCTTCTGTGTGCAAATTTGTCTCTTCTTTCATGAGAAGTAAACATCTACGAGGGGTGTTCATTAAAGATTTCCCCTAAACCACTTAGGGTTATCATATTTGGTTGAAATTTCACATGTGTAATGATACATGTATCTATGGGTTATGTCTGAATTTGCAGCACCGAACTATTAATCTTACCACTTTTACAGGTGTTATGATCGAGTAGGGTGTGACAATGGAGCCAGTAGAATACCGAGCAGTGATTAGGTTTTTATATTTGAAAGGTCGCACACCAAAAGAAACTTTCGATGAAATGAAAGCAACTCATGGGGAAGATGCCCCATCATATGACGTTGTTAAACACTGGCATCGCCAGTTCAAGTGTGGTCGGACATCTGTGGAAACAGCTGCCATTCCTGGTCGCCCCCATTCAGCCATTGATGAGGACACTATCCATCAAGTGGAGACCGCCATTTTGGCAGACAAACGTATAACTGTTCGCCAGTTAGCACAAGATGTCAAGATCAGTGTAGGGTCTGTGGAAAAAATCATCCATGACAATTTGAACATGCATAAGGTGTCTGCATGATGGATTCCCAGGTTGCTCACACCTTTCCAAAAGCAGGAACGAGTCAATTGCTCAAAGGATCTTTTGGACATGTGCCAAAAAAACCAGGCAAACTTTTTTGACAGACTTATCACACAGGATGAAACATGGGTCCATCACTATGATCCTGAGACTAAAGTTCAGTCGATGCAATGGAAGCATGTGGAGTCACCACCCCCAAAGAAGGCACGTGTCCAACCCTCTGCAGGCTAGGTCATGCTCACGGTGTTTTTGGACCAGCACGGAGTAGTAATGATGGATTTCTTGGCAAAGGGTACCATAATTACAGGAGCTTATTATGCTTCACTGCTGCGGAAATTGCGGGACGCTATCAAGCTTAAGAGGCGTGGCATGCTGACCAAGGGTGTCCGTCTCCTGCAAGACAGTGCTCCAGTACACAACTCTCATGTTGCCCAGACAGAAGCGCGGTCCTGTGGCTATGAAATCCTTCCACATCCTCCTTACTCTCCTGACCTTGCACCATCTGACTTCCCCCTCTTTCCAACCATGAATCATTTTTGAAGGGAAAACGTTTCACAGATGATGAAACACTGATTTCTGAAGTCTAAGTCCTGGTTTGGGACGCAAAATGAGGGCTTTTTACAAGCGAGGTCTCCATAGTTGCATAAAACGATGGGAGAAGTGTGTAACTCTTGGTGGTTCCTATGTGGAGAAAGACTAATACCTATGCCAAGTTTCATTCCACTAGGTCCATCAGAAGGGGGTCGGGGAAATCTTTAATGAACACCCCTCGTACTTTAGCAGACTTGTTTCTCTAGCACCTGGTTTTGTAATCACACTGCTATCACACTACCACGAGCTAGTATTATCAATTTCTAGCTACCTGTTCTTTCAGTTTTGATGAATCACCATCCATACACTGAAACCATAAGGCATATGGACAAAAAAGAATAGAAGCCATGCTCCCCCTGAAACCAGAATACTGCTCAACACTTGAGCATTGATAAAAGGGTGCGACTTAAAGGAAAAGTAATGAAAAAATATATTTTAAAAGGTAAATAATTCTTATGAATCCTCTACCTCAATTACAACATTGCCATAAATCCTGTATTTTAGCTGTATCACACTAAACTAAACTTTCACATTATCAATAGAAGTTTTCTTACTGTCAACCATACAATTGTAAATTTTACAGTAAATTGTATATTTATAAAACTTATCCTTTCTCACTCTATGCATTTCATCCTTCTTCCAATCCTTGTGTGGAAACATCCTAAAACAAAGTTTCCAGCTTCAAAGCTTCTGTATACCCAACACCCCTGCATTATCATGGTGACCGTTCCAGCAATTAGGTCATGCACCGGAATCTCGTGCAGCATGCTGACCTCAATCCGACCACTTGACTTCTGTCTCACCATTCTCTTTCTTGGAGTTAGTTCTTCACGATGAAGTCCCATCGAAGACCCAGATGGACCTTGCCATGGCTGTGCCCCTCGAATCGAATTCTGTTGACATCCAAGGTGTGTATCTTGCTGACCCTCACAGTTAGAAGGAAGACTGTTTTGAGACTGTATTCTGCTGATGTCAAGTGTCGAAGGATAACGTTTACATCTCAAGAAATCTGGACGAATGGTTAGCAAGTTTATGGGAGTGGAGAAGAGCTTGAAGTTCTGGGACTACAGTGATCTTCACAACCATTGTGATAGCAATGACTGAATTAAGAGCTCCTAGATATGTGGATAATGTTGAGCCCTTAAGCTTCCTGGTGGAGCTAAGATACTGAAGATAGTCTGCAACTTGCTGTGGGGATGCAGTAGCAGGAGTGCCGATAATCCTGCTACTGTAATATCCCTCGAAGGCTTTCCGTTTATGGTCGTACAAAGGTTTGGTGGAATTTCGATGAGTACCCTTTTGCAACTAAGGATAATTCTTACAAATCCTCTACCTCTATTTCATCAGTGCCATATTTCTGTCACACTATATGACTAAATTTTCAAATTTTCAATAGAAGTCATCTCCACTGTCAACTATACATAACTGATATTTCCCATAATAGCACCAATTAGCATATCACTCTTCTGTGTGCAAATTTGTCTCTTCTTTCATGAGAAGTAAACATCTACGAGGGGTGTTCATTAAAGATTTCCCCTAAACCACTTAGGGTTATCATATTTGGTTGAAATTTCACATGTGTAATGATACATGTATCTATGGGTTATGTCTGAATTTGCAGCACCGAACTATTAATCTTACCACTTTTACAGGTGTTATGATCGAGTAGGGTGTGACAATGGAGCCAGTAGAATACCGAGCAGTGATTAGGTTTTTATATTTGAAAGGTCGCACACCAAAAGGACTTTCGATGAAATGAAAGCAACTCATGGGGAAGATGCCCCATCATATGACGTTGTTAAACACTGGCATCGCCAGTTCAAGTGTGGTCGGACATCTGTGGAAACAGCTGTCATTCCTGGTCGCCCCCATTCAGCCATTGATGAGGACACTATCCATCAAGTGGAGACCGCCATTTTGGCAGACAAACGTATAACTGTTCGCCAGTTAGCACAAGATGTCAAGATCAGTGTAGGGTCTGTGGAAAAAATCATCCATGACAATTTGAACATGCATAAGGTGTCTGCATGATGGATTCCCAGGTTGCTCACACCTTTCCAAAAGCAGGAACGAGTCAATTGCTCAAAGGATCTTTTGGACATGTGCCAAAAAAACCAGGCAAACTTTTTTGACAGACTTATCACACAGGATGAAACATGGGTCCATCACTATGATCCTGAGACTAAAGTTCAGTCGATGCAATGGAAGCATGTGGAGTCACCACCCCCAAAGAAGGCACGTGTCCAACCCTCTGCAGGCTAGGTCATGCTCACGGTGTTTTTGGACCAGCACGGAGTAGTAATGATGGATTTCTTGGCAAAGGGTACCATAATTACAGGAGCTAATTATGCTTCACTGCTGCGGAAATTGCGGGACGCTATCAAGCTTAAGAGGCGTGGCATGCTGACCAAGGGTGTCCGTCTCCTGCAAGACAGTGCTCCAGTACACAACTCTCATGTTGCCCAGACAGAAGCGCGGTCCTGTGGCTATGAAATCCTTCCACATCCTCCTTACTCTCCTGACCTTGCACCATCTGACTTCCCCCTCTTTCCAACCATGAATCATTTTTGAAGGGAAAACGTTTCACAGATGATGAAACACTGATTTCTGAAGTCTAAGTCCTGGTTTGGGACGCAAAATGAGGGCTTTTTACAAGCGAGGTCTCCATAGTTGCATAAAACGATGGGAGAAGTGTGTAACTCTTGGTGGTTCCTATGTGGAGAAAGACTAATACCTATGCCAAGTTTCATTCCACTAGGTCCATCAGAAGGGGGTCGGGGAAATCTTTAATGAACACCCCTCGTACTTTAGCAGACTTGTTTCTCTAGCACCTGGTTTTGTAATCACACTGCTATCACACTACCACGAGCTAGTATTATCAATTTCTAGCTACCTGTTCTTTCAGTTTTGATGAATCACCATCCATACACTGAAACCATAAGGCATATGGACAAAAAAGAATAGAAGCCATGCTCCCCCTGAA